TCTCTCTCTCTCTCTCTCTCTCTCTCTCTCTCTCTCTCTCTCTCTCTCTGCCTTAGTTTTATTATCAGTGGAATGAAGGGGGTTGGACTAGGAATCCGGAGTTGCACAAAGGAAAGAATTCCCAATTGGGAGTTAGAGGAATTGCTTGAAATCCTGACTCTGATGCTTACTACCTGTGAGACCTTGGGTTTTCACTTTATCCTTTAGGATTGAAGCTCCTTCCAGCTTTATTTCTCCACGATCCCTTTAAATTGTTGATCATATATAGTCAGAGTCCAGGGACTGTGTCCCACTAGAGCCAGAATGCCCAGGACAGATCTCTGCATCCTTGACGTTTGGCATCCAAGCACTGAGTCAGAAAACTTGGGTTAGAATCTTGACTTTGCCTTGGACAAATCATTTCACCACCTTAGGGTATTTTTTTCCCAGATTCTTATGAGCCCTGTAACCAAAGTTTACATTCTCAATGGATCTAGAGGCTGCTGTACCAGTCTCCCCTTAACAACAGTGATACCAGTAGAGGGAATGCAAGACTGGTGTCATCTCCATTTCATAGATGAGGAAACTGAGGTCTAGAGAAATTAAATGATTTGTCTAAGGACACACAAAACTAAAAAGAGAATTAGGCCAAGCTCCAAATTCTCCCATCCTTTTACTATATCACAATGCCCTTTGGTAGTCCATCCTCCTTGACAATGTCCCCTCATGTAAAGTCACAGATACACAATATCAGAGCTGAAAAACAGATTAGAGATCACTGAGGGCAGGAATTCTTTTTTTTTTTTTTTTTGCTTAAGCAATGGGGGTTAAGTGACTTGCCCAGGGTCACACAGCTAGTAAGTGTCAAATGTCTGAGGTCAGACTTGAACTCAGGTCCTGCTAACTCCAAGGCTGGAGCTCTCATCCACTGCGTCACCTACCTGCCCCCTGAGGACAGGAATTCTTAACTTGGGGTCCATGAACTTGTTTAAAAAATGTTTTTTGATAGTTGTATTTCACTATTATGATACATTACAAATACTTATCTACTAAACCATATATAAATATATAGTTATAAATTCACTATAAATTTATTTTATACATTTAAAATTTTTTTGAGAGTCTATAGGTTTCACCAGACTGTCAATGGGGTCCATGATACAAAAAAAGGTTAAGACCCTCTGATCTAGGATAATGCCCTCATTTTCCAGATAAGGGAACAGACTGAGATAGAGCAATAAAGTGACTTGCCCGAGGACACAGGGGCTCTAAGCCAGGTCTCTAGATTCCTAGGTTCTGTGGTGCCTTGAACTGGGTTGGTAGGAAGATAAGACAGGGAATCTGGAAAAGATCTTCAATTGCCCTTATTTTACAGAAGAAATTGGGGCCCAGAAGAGAGAAATAATTGAAGGTGGGTTTGGAACCCAGGTCCTTTGACTCTATAGGGAGTGGTCCCACTGTACCAAACTGCCTCTTCCCCATCAGTCCCAGGGCAAGGCAAGGACATCCAGAGTAGGCTGGGACTTTCTGATGCCTCTTCACGGTTTTGGAACAACATGTCTCTTCACAGGCAAGTCTATTTTGGGGGCAGAGGCAGCAGCCAGTTCTAGATGTGAGCTTTGGAACTTCCCAAGCAGACCCTGTTGGGGGATGGGGATGTAAGAAGGAGGAGGGACAAGACAGAGGGTCTTATAGGTAGGCAGTCAACTGTTGGGAGCAAGACTTCAGGAGTGACCCAAAAGAGGGCAGCCCGGGACAATCTCACCTCCTTCCCTTCCCTTGAGGCCCTCATTTTCCCAAGGTCCCTCATCCCCACTGGACAGGTTTGGGATGGTATTTTATGATTAGGATCTGAGCTGCCTAGTGAGAGCAGAGTTAGCATGGATGCATGCTTAGAAATGAATGGCCAGAACAATGGACTGTGTTCTCCCTTCAACGTCCAGTTCAAAATTCACCATCTCCAAGAAGTCTTCCTAGATTCCAAATAATGAATCTAACCTTTTCTCTACTCCTATTGGCTCTGTGCTTTGAGATTTTGATGACACCACAGGGAATACAGGTCTCTATGTGCACCGGATTCAGGCTTGAATTCTCTGCCATTTACTAGATGTGTGAAATGAGGATGCCTCAGGAGGGTCTCTAAGGGGCTAGAGACACAACGTAGAGAAATTTGTAAACTACAAAGTGCTATATAAATGCAATTTGTATATACATTCTTTGTGTGTGTTGTACATACACAAACATACACCCACATATACTTTATTTGTCTTAATCTACATGTGTAGTGTAACCCTAAGTAGGAAGACTTTATGGAGGGAAAATGACCTGAGTCAGAAAGCTTGTGTTCCAGCCCTAGCTTTGATATTTACTACCTGTGTGGCCTTGGGCAAGTCATTTTCTTTTTTTAGAGCCTCAGTTTCTTCCCCCTTGAAATGGGGATAATCCTAAAGTGCCATAGAAATGGAAACTGGCTATTTGGTGTCTCTGGCAGCACCTGGGTTTATGCATACAGCAGGTTCTCAGTCAGGGCTGCTTCTTCATTTTCCACTACAACCTCTGGGTGAAGTTCTGTCTTGGCTCCCTCAGGCCCTTCCTCCAAACGACATCAATTTGGTAGCCTAGTAGAGGGACTTGAGAAAAGGGCTGCTGTACCCCCTGCTTCCAGATCCCCTGGACCATGCTCTGTTTCCTCCCATCTAAGTCTTAGAGTCACAACACAGCAGAATCCCTCCACCCCCTTCCCCAGCTACTCCCGGGAGGAATCAGCAGGGATGGGAAAGTGGCTTCTAAAGCCAAATTTGGATGGGCTTCTGCCCTTAAGATGCTCTGGTCTTCCAGACAAATCCCAAGGAATAAAGGAGAAGGGGTGGGAGTAAGTTTCTGCAGCTGAGAGTTTGAGTCAAAGACTTATCCTGGTTCCATGGTACCTTGTAGGGCCAACTTCTACTAGTATTGAGGGCTTTCTGACCTTTACAATTAATCTTGGCATTGATGATCTGGAATGGGAGTATAAGCTCTATGAGGGCAAGGATTGTGGCTTAGCTCAAGTTTGCATCTCCATTCCCTGACTAGCATCTCCTGACCAGCAGAGTACCCAGCTTTTTGAATAAATAAATAATGCTTTAACTTATCTATTAGACTGTCATAAGAGCCAGGACTATGTCTTATCCAAAACTATCTCCCTGGTTCCAAGCACAGGTTTTTGTGGAATAATATTTGTTGCATATTGGGGCTGACAACAAATGTTACCTGAAATTCAGCCACAAACCAGGACAGTTCTAGAGAACCTATGAGCTCTCAGCAGGATTCTCCTGTGGGCTTCTTCAAGGATTCAACCCCATTGGTAGCCTGGCAGGGTTAGGACTGGAGGGTAGCACAATCTAACGCTACATAGAGCCCTGAATACATGAGTTCAGATTTTAGCTCTGATACGTACTCTCTGTGTGACCCTGGGCAATTCACTTAATCTCTCTGAGCCTTGGTTTCTTCATCTGTAAACTGACTAAGGGGACAAAATGGCCTGTGAGGTCCGTTCTGGTGCTCAATCTATGATCCTAAGACTGTAACAATGAACTTGAAGTCAGAAGAAAGCTGGGTTTGAATGCTGGATCTGAAACTCAATGGTTGTATGTTTGTTCAGTAATTTTTTCAGTTGTGTCTGACTCTTTGTGACCCTGTTTGTGGTTTTATTGGCAAAGATACTGGAGTGGTTTGCCATTTCCTTCTGTAGCTCACTTAACAGATGAAGAAGCTGAGGCAAGTAGGGTGAAGTGACTTGCCCAAGGTAACACAGCTAGTAAGTGTCTGAGGCTAGATTTGAACTCAGGAAGATGAGCTTTTATGACTCCAGGCCTGACTCTGTATCCACTGTGACATGTAGCAGCCCAGTGTTTTTATGACCTTAAGCAAATATCTTCATTTCTGAGCCTCAGTTTCCTCATCTGTAAAATGGAGATAAATCTTTGTACCACAGGATTATTGTGAGGAAAGCACTTTTAAAACATAAATAGCTCACACTTCATTAGCATGTAATCTTTGCCATACTTGACTTTCTGACACAATCTCAGCTCTGCCCAGGCCTTAACTATTACCTCAAGCAAGTCACTTTCCTCTCCCCTGCTCAAAGGCCTTACTCTCTTCTTTGTTAAAAAAGAGAGAGTTGGAGGAACTGATTGTTCTCTTTCAGTTCTAAGTCAAATTATTCAAATTATTTGACTATCCCTTCATGGCTTTGTAAGAGAAGGAACTTTATGTTGCTGGCAGAAACAGGCCTACTACTGGAGATAGGTAAACAAAGGGGATCTAGAAAGAAACTACTAATTTAAGTAAAATTCCCCCTTCTTTCTCTTCCAGGAAAAGGAGTGAATTACCCATCCATGACCAGTGTAACCTCATGTAGAGGGCATAGAGTGGCTGTATAAATCACTGAGCAACCAGCTAGAATACAGGTGGCTCAGAAGACTATAGAGATAGGCTAAAGTTACCACTGACCTGGGTTTTCTCTTCCTTATTTCTGACTTCAGTTTGCCTCTCTTAAAGATGTTGAAGAGGGTCTAAGGGGAATGTACTTGTTAGAACACCAAGCAGAAGAATTGAAAAAGAACCCAGTGTCCTCAAATGTACTTTGTGGGACTTGGGAGTTACAAGGAACTTAGAATTTAATCACATGCTCCCACCCACCCACCCGGCTGCATTTCATAGATGAAGAAACTAAAGCTCAGGACATGACTTCAGAAAATGACTTCACCAAAGTCACTCATGAAAAGAGTAGAGCCAAGATTTGAATCCAAGTTCTCTGATTATAAATCTTTTCCCTTACATTGAATATTACCTATTAGGATACCTTTCAGGGCAAAGTGATAAGCCTCACCTTGACAAGTCAGAGTAGTAGAACCATCGCCTAGAGAAACAGCTATGCTGACCAAACCCTTCTTCCCTCCCTGGGAAAATATCCCAGTCACTAGAACCTCACTGAGTGTGTGTGTTCGCAGGTGGGGGGTGGGAATGTTCAGGAGGGTCAAAGAACACATCTGGAGGAGGGGGAACCCGTAGTGCACTAGAGTGACCCTCTCCTCTTACTTTAGTAAATGAGAACTGGGGGAGAGAGAGCAGGAATTAGGTACAGAGGGTAGCAAGCCTAGCAGGTATCATTACAGGAGCCCACAGGTGGAGGAGCTGAAGAGTCTAACAACCCTTACTGCTCGGAGCAGATAGACCGCTAGACTTGGAATCAGAAGATCTGGGTTCAAATACTACCTTTTACTAGGCTTATGGCCATGGAAAAGTCACTTCACTTGCCTATCTGAGCTTCCTTTTCTTTTTCTATAAAATAGGGACCAAAAACTCCAACTCCCTACTTAGAAGAACTTCTGTAAGGAAAGTGACTTGGAAACTTTAAAGTGCCATAGAGATAGGAGTTGTAATTTTTATCTTTATGTTTTATATTTTAATTTTTATCCTCAAAGTAAGGCAGGGCAGGGAATCTCTGAGTCTAGTCCTAAACTACCCAGCACTCCCATGTTTCCTAAAGGAGAGAATTAATCCTGCCTTCTAAAGGTTCTAGCTTTGCCACTAACTAGCTATTTGATAGAGAAATCACTTTTCCTCTCCCGGGCTAGGGACTTTCTCATATTATAATAGAAGTTATGGTTACTGAAATTTCCTCAGATAGGGCAAGTTTTCTGCATGGTTTTTTTTTTTAAGGCTGGGAATTGGAGGTGGATTTTGTAGGTTTATCTTTTTACATATCTTATATCCTAATCATGCACTAAGAACTCATTCAGACACTACTGCATGAGGAGGAAAGAACCCTAGGAATCAGAAGATGCAAGTACTACTCCCCCCTCACCTCAGTGCCTCCTCATGTAAAATGGGTGAATACATGATATTCAACAGTCTTCTCAACCCATGACAGTAGGATTCCTGTGCTTACTGATTTAGCTAATTGTGTCTCCTGGCCATCTACTACACTGCACCCCTACCCCCACTCTCCACTTAGAACAAGTGGAGGGAAAGTGTCATGCCCAGCTAATATCTTGGCTCGTTAAGGACGGGATGTTCTCTCCTTGGGGACTCAAAGCTCATCAATTTGGGTGAGGTGAAGATATGGAAGTACTTCTTGGTCCCATCTCTCTACTCTCACTGCTCTGCCACTGGCTTCATGTTCTGTCTTTGACAAGAGGCAAGAAAGAGTAGCATATCGTGGAAGGTCAGGGCTGGGTCCAGCTGCCCTTCCGGTCAACGTCACAGCATAAAGATAGGATGCAACCCTCTGAAGCTCCCTTTAATAACTCCTTGGGGATATGTCATCCAGGAATTTAGCAAGCCCTCATGGAATCTGTTTGTATTTCCCGCCTGTGCCACTTCTCAGGGAAACAGATTCCACATTTGCCACCAGCTTTCTCTCATTAGAAATGGAAAACAGCATGCCAGTTTTTTTTTTTAAAAAAAAGCAAAAGCAAAAAAATATTGGACGGAGTCAAGAGACCTACGATCTAATTTTAGTTCTGAGATTGAGACTTTAGACTGAGCCTTTGGACAAGTCACTTCTCTTCAGAGAAAGACTGAGAGGGTTAGACTAAATGATCTCTCAGGCCTCTTCCAACTCTGATATCCTATGGTTTCAGCCCTTGGGTGGAGGCTGAGAGCGGCGGAATTTCTGGCTTTTAGAACCGTGGGGAGGGAGACTTGCCCTCTACATCCGGCAGTGGGTAAGGCCCTGAGCCTGAGAAATCTCTGAACAAATTCGGCCTGAGCCTCCCTTCCCAGTCACCCGCTCACTGGCCTCCAGGACTCACCGCCTTGCGCTGATTACTGAGGCAGAAGGTACAGATAGTGCGCGGCTGCTGTCGAGCGTCTCCACCACCGCTCCCAGATGCGCTGCGCTCGCCCTTGGGTCCGCAGACGGCGCGGAAACACGGCTGCCCGTCGTCGCAGCCTTCGCCCAGCAGCAACACGTTGGCCAGATGAGAGATATAGCTGGAAGCCAGGCGCAAGGTCTCGATCTTGGACAGCTTGCGATCCACGGGCTCGGTGGGGATAAGCGTGCGCAGCGCCGTGAAGGCCGTGTTGACACTCTGGGTCCGGTCTCGTTCCCGCGCGTTAGCCGCTTGTCTCTGCTTCACTACCACCACTGGCCCCCCGCCGCCTCCAACGCCACCACCGGCCCCGGTTCGGCGGCTGCTACCGCCCCCGGCCCCGCTCCCGGTCCTCCGCCGAGCGGGCTCCAACCCTTCGTAGCCGCCATACGACTGGTCCGAAGCATCGCTCTCGCTGCGGTTCTCCTCGTCCTCACTTAGCAGGCTGAGGTCGGGGTATAGCACGTGGGCGGCCACTGGGCGCAGCATGGCGAATGCCATGGGGACGGGGGAGTCTGGTCCTGCTTCGGACCCTACCCTTTTAGTGCCGTGCCGTCCCGGCTACCGGGTGCGGGGCCCCAAGAGTAAGGGGCCTCGACGCGGGAGAGGGGAGCTCAACAGTACCCCACCTAGAAGGGCTTCGGCGCGGGGCGCCAGCTCAGACCCCAACTTTGAACTGCGTGTAGGGATTTCGGGACTGCGCAGTGTGCGCTCTAAGGCAAAGAGCCACCGGCACTACTATTTAAGGTCTGGGAGCTGCCGAAGTTTGAGGGCGACTCCTCTAATAACCAATGAGGCTACGAAGGACTTCGCTGACCGCCCAATCGGAAGACTCGGGTTTCCTCCACCCCCCGCCCCTAACGCAGATAGCGGTTCTCGGGAGCCAAAGAGACAGGACACCTCGTGGAGTCCGTAGGCAGCAGACCCAGGGACCGGGGCTACCGCAGAACTCCTATAGCTGCCACTATCTCAGGCCGCACTCCTGACCAGCTGCTGTGTCCGTGGGCCGAAGGTCTGGGAAGAGAGCTGGCATGCACAGTGGTTGCCTCCTCCCGATCTTACCAACACTCTGATTTACTTTATTAGTCCGTATATCTTGGAGGTGGATCTGGGTCCTACTAAAATTCAGATATATTCCCAAGGGAGCACCGGTGTTCCATTAACCTTTCGTGTTATGTTATGTCATGTTATGTCATGTCAGAGCTGAAAGCTAGAGTCTGTCTCATGGCTTCCCTAGCTTCCTACAAGATTCAACTCAAATTCCACTTTCTGCAAAAGGTGGTGCCCCTACTGCTAAGCTCCTTCTCTCTAAAATTACGTGCCAATTACGTTATCTGTATCTTGCATGTGTATAGTTATTTGCATGTTGTCTCTTCTCATTAGAAAGTGAACTCTTTGAGGTCAGGGGCTCTGTTTTTGCCTTTCTTTGTATCCCTTGAACTCAGCACGGTGCCTGGCACATGGTACTCACTCAATAAATTCTTGTTGATGATGATAATGCACCCTACCCCGTTTTACAGAGGAGGAAACTAGGGCCCAAAGAAGGGAAATAACGAGCCTAAATTCTCTGGGGCTAGAACCTAGGCTACCTGATTCCCAGTCCAGAACTCTCTTCATCACAAGGTATTAGTCCTCACCTTTTGGAATAATAGAGACTTTCCATACTTAGGTCTCAGATATGTATTCCCTCCCCTGTCGAAGGTAACAACCCTTCCACACTTAATTCTTTTCCATGTCTTTTTGTAACAGATCCACTACTGAGGATCTGCCCAATATGCTGGAGATTTCCCCCTAGGTTATTATTTTAATATTTTATGTATACCAGGATAAACTTGGGCTGTTTCTCTGTTATTCCTCACTCTCATCTGCCTACTTCCTTTTTTCTGTCATACATGTCATGCATAAGGTCTTTTATGCAACTTCTATTAGGCAGATCATATTTGGTAATGTGCTGCCATCTCTGCACACTCCTCCTTGTTTTTATCTCCTTTGTTCTTTAGTTCACCTGCAATTTCGCTTATTGGAAAACCACAAGTTCCCATAAATTGTAGCCATATAGAATCCAGAGCCTAAAAAGATGGACTTTGGGAATTGTTTGGGGCTGCTGAAGATGCTGGGCAGTTTTCAAAATATCACCCAAACTGCTCTCCTCCTATTCAATTCTAGGCCCAGCTAATCTGTCCATCTGCAATGCCTATCCTATATGTGTATATATGTATACATATTTATATAAATATATACATATATGTATATGTATACACAACATAAACGTGATATATACATAACATTATGTATATACATGTATACAGTATATCAGGACATATGTAGGACTATATGTAGGCATGTAAATATATGTATTTGATGTTTTTTAAGTGGAAAATATTGACTTGCATATCATAATCTAGGGCAAAATTTTTTTTTTGCTTGATTTTTCCTATGTGGATGGTTAGACTAAGATTTTTTTTTAGGTTATACATGTGTAATTATGTAAAACTTTTCCACATTAGTCATTTTGTACAAGAAGACTTGAATAAAAGAAAAAAAATGAAAGAGTGAAAAATAGCATGCTTCAGTCTGTATTCAAATAATATCAGTTTTTCCTCTGGATGTGGACAGTATGCTCCATCTTGAGTCCTTTGGGATTGTCTTGGATCATTGAATTGCTGAGAATAACTAAGTCATTCACAGTTCTTCATCAAACAATATTTCTGTTACTGTGTACATCCCTCTCCTGGTTCTGTTCACTTCATTATGTGTCAGTTCATGCAAGTCTTTCCAAGTTCTTCTGAAGTCTGCCTGCTCATCATTTCTTATAGCACAATAATATTCCATCACATTTATATACCACAACTTGTTCAGCCATTCCCCAGTTGATGGGCATCCCTTTGATTCCCAATTCTTAGCCACCACAAAAAGAGCTGCTATAAATATTTTTGTACAAATGGGTCCCTCCCCCTCCCCTTTTTTATGTCTTGGGGATATAGACCTAGCAGTGGTATTGCTGGATCAAAAGGTATGCACAGTTTTATAGCCCTTTGGGCATAGACTAAGATCTTTGAAAGAAAAACTTAATCTTTGCAGGAAAAAAATATCCATACATGGGGGGGCACCCTGGGTAACCGACTAGGCAGGCCCTTCAACCTGGAATGAATCATACCTTTACAACTGGAAAGGAAAGGCAATCTATTCCAACCCTCTCATTCCTCAGATCAGGAAACCAAGACCCAGAGAGATTAAGAGACTTGTCCAAACTCACAGAGGTAATAAACAACAGAGCTGGAATTGGAGCCTGCTTCCTCTGATTCACAATCCAGGACTCTCTCTTTTATGCCATCCTTTCCCAAGAACTCATGTATCCTACCTCCCACCTGTTTCCATTAAATTGGCCCCAGCAGAATCTTGCCTCAGATTCCCTGTCTGGCAAGCCAAGCTGGTGTCAAAATCATAAGGAAGACGCCCTTTGGGATCCTTTTGCAGTCTCCCTTCTGCTCTGACTCCTCTCCTTCACACACTTTCTTTCACTAATAGGAGTCCATGCCAGACCTCTGGCTGCCCAGGGATTCCAAGTGGGCCCCCACTGCCCTGTCCTTCTCTTCATCTCCACCCTGACTAATCCCCAAACCAATTCAGCCTGAGAGCTGATAGGTTCATGGGAGCAAGGTAGAGAAAAAAGACATTTGCATTTTAATGAGGTTTTAGATACAAACATTTATTAAGCCTTCTGGTTTCTTCTTAGCATAAGTAGGCTGCACCTTATTAAGTGGAAATGGCCCCAAAAACATCACCCAGGAAAGGCATAATCAGAAAAGAAGATGGGTTGGTCATGTGAAAGTGATGAATCACATGTAGACAGTCAGAGTGCTGCATTGGTACCCCTTGAATGTTAAAAGGCCAACCCCTTCAGTTTACAGATGAACTGAACAGAGTTTCTGAACAGAAACTGAAGTCCAAAGGTCTAAGTGACTTACCCATGGTTACACAGCAAGAAGAAAGGGGAAGACCACCTAGGAGGGGCTACCTGAGCTGTGTCTTGAAGGAAGACAAGCATTTTAACCCTTGGGAAAAACAGTAGGGACTTCAGCCCAAGCAGGGACTGTCCGTGGGAATGCAAGGAAGAGAAACATGTTCTTTCAAATTAAGGGAAGGAAGAGCTAAAAGTCCAGTTTGGCCTAAACATGGAATGTTTAAAAGGGTGTAATATAAAATATAATTGGGGAGATAGGAATTTGACATCGATTCCAGTCAGAAAATAAATCAGCATTTAGCCTCTATTCCTCTATCTGAGGACAGCAGGTCTACACATTTTTATCCATTTTGGATCTCCTTGGGTTCTAAGCATGAAGGTAGAAGACTATTAATTTTTTTGTACTGAATCCCTGTTGCTCTAGGACACAATGAAATAGCTTTGAAAGTGGCTCATGAGAGATTCTTATTGCATTGTCATTTCATTATTTCTCTTCTTTGGGTCCACTACCTCCAGGCCATTTTCTTACCCTGACCTTTGCCCCCAACCTTGTACCCTCTCAGCCTTCTCCTTTTTGCTCTGGGAACTGTAATCAAATCAACATTACTGCTGCTTTGGAAAGAGATGGCCAATCAACCACCCTATTCCTCCATTCATCATCCCTTTGATTTCCCATACCAAAATAACTTTCTCTGATTTTCCTGTATGTATTGTATCTGTTTCCTACCCTGTTAGGATATAAGTTCCATGAAGGCAGGAAAAAAAAATCTTGATTTGATGTTTAGTTCTCCAGCACTTAGCACAGTGCTTGGAACCTCGTAGGTACTTAATAAATGTTTTTCATTCATTCCTTCATTCATACTCCTAGCTCTAAATCTATTATCCTATGAACTAGAATCATAGAGTATTAGAGGAGGAAAGGATTTTAGAGATGCCCTAGGTCAATTACATTGATGTAAAAGTGATATTGATGTGCAGAAAGAAATAGTTTGACCTTGGGCACACAGTCTAGGGACAAGGCCAAGACCAGAAGCCAGGTGTCCTGATTCTGCCATATCAGTGCTCTTTCCCATGAGCAGCCTCCCAATAAAATGCTAGATATATTAATTGACTGGTGTAAATGGTGATTCTGGCTCTCCTCTCCAGGGCTTGGTCTGCCCCTCACCCTGCCTGAAAAAGAGAAATTAACTCCATCTTCTCTGGCCTCTCTGGTTGTAGGGGGTCACAGTCTCTACTGGCTGCTGAGGCTGGCACTTGTGGGTGGGCAATTAATGATTAAAGTTAATTCTAGATACTGCCAGAGAGGTCTAGAACACTTGGTCCAGGCTTCTCCTTTATCACTCCCCCCTGCCAGGCTTAATCTCCACCTCCTCAGGATAGCCAATGAATGGCCCTTGGTCCCCCATACTTCTCCCCTTCCTGAAGCCCAGCAAGGTCAGTATCACACAACTGGCCTCCCTCTGCTTCCTGAGCTGATGAATTATTACTAAGAAATTCCCTTTCCTGTCTGGTCCCTGTCAAGGTGGCTCTCTGCCCCTGTGGCTGCTACACTCTCACTTTCATCCCTTCCCCCAAATCCCAAGACTGAAGACAAGACTGGAAGCCCAGCAGGGAAAACAGGCTGAGTTCCTCTTTACCCCTTTCTTCCTCAGGGGTCAAGGGCTTCCTAAACCCCCCTGAAAGAGTATGTGGGTGCTGGGGGTTTAGCTATTATCACTAATCTTT